TTCTAATCTAACCTTCGTTTCATTTTTATGGCCAGCAGTAGACCTTGAGATCCCTAATATAGTCCCTCCAAAGATACAAGAGCCACAGTGCATTTGTCATTTTCAAGTTTCCCTTCTTATGAATACTTTCCTGATTCCTTTCCTTTTTATTTTTTCTGCCTCATTTTCTCTCTCATAGTTCACTATGGTCTGTAGCAAACTTGGGAGAAATCGCCACGTGTCTTGTTTTTGCTCAGAACAAACTGATATTTTAACCATATAGTTTGTTACTGAAAGTATCAAACTAGGTGGCTACCAATAAGGTGTCACATCAGTAAACAGTAAACAAAGTTGCTATAGCAAACTTGCACACGAGACACTTTAACAAATTTTACTGTTGGAATTGAATATTTTTTTTTTTTGTAAAATGGGACACCGTTCCCATTCTTTCCTCTTTGTCATTCTCTCTCCTTTCTTTTGCACGTTTCTGATCATCATTTGTTTCTAACTATTTTTCTCCCTTGCTTTGTCTTCTTACAGTGTTTCTTTGTCATCTCTTTCCACCCCTTGCTGACGTGGCTCGTGTTGAGGTTTCTTCTCTCCTTTCTTTTGATTGGGTTGATCCGAATACATCATTTGATTTTTATTTTTTTTGAAAGTTAATGGAATTGAAAACAAACTACAAATCAGTGCACATACGTGGGCTAGTAACGCCCATCAGATTCCTTCTTAACAAAATTTTACAATCTTGGAGAGCCTCGTTAAAAATATACAGATCTCAGTCTGAGAAAGAATGTCTCGCGTCTGCTAACTTGTCTGCCACCATGCTGCCCTCCCTGAGTGTGTGGCTTATCTTTGCCACCATGTTACATCATATGGTTTAATTCTGCCTCCTTAACACGTCCTGCACAAGGTCCAAATAATCAAAATACAAGCCCAATTTAATATTTGAGTAAATATCATTTTTGGTCCTCAGCAAATTTTACGATACCCGCCTTTAGTCCCTAGCAAATAAAAAGACTTATCGTGGTCTCTCATAAATTTAAAATGGACCCATTTTAGTCCTAGAGACTAATATGAGTCTTTTTTGAATTTATGAGAGACCATAATTTCAACTAAATGAGTCCATTTTAAATTTTTTAGGGACCGATGAACCTTTTTATTTGCTAGGGACTAAAACGGACATCGTGAGAACCAAAAAAGGTATTTACTCTTGATATTTTACAACTGAGAAGAAAATCCCTCCTAATTGGACCATATTGTCTATGATGAAATGGTCCTGGTTAAGATAATAATAAAGATGACATGTGAAGTAAAACAAGCAAAAAGTCTTTGAAATGTCAACGACACAGAACTTCAACTACTACCTATTTTTTGTAGGATACAACTAAACGCATTTAGTTTGCGAAAGTGAACCTTCATCTCACCTCTCTCACAATGATAAGTTTGTCTAACCCCGACTCTCCATTACACATTTTCATGTCACAGTCTCTTCAGTTGGATCCTCAATATCTTTGATTCCGACTTTGGGTAAGACTTCATCTATTGGTTCTCTTTTGCAAACTGAATGCGCATAATTGGACCAGCGCTGTGAATGTGCTGGTGAAGCTAGTCTTCAGAGTCAAGAACATGATGGATATAAGTTCGCAAACTCCAGAGTTGAATGCAAACTTCGGTATTTTCATTTCTCTCAGTACCTTTTCTGCTTGATTATTTGATCTTAGAAACCGATATATGTTTTACTTGGCATTGCTTCGCCTTGATTTAAGTGATTTTCTGGATAAGCCTATGTCAAATCCGTTCAAGCCAAATTTATTCACGTTTTCTCATATTAAAGCAAGCTTAATTTGCGATGCATAAATTTTGACATCAACAAATTTTCTTTAGTCACAATCTCTTACATGGGCATTTGTGTATTGTTCTAGACAATAGACAAGGGAACCAAATGGTGGTAACTCCCTTGCTAGCCAGGGAGTTGAGTGAGTAAAAGGAAAGTGTCTCGGTTTGATTTTCACATGTCACATTTGCCAGGAGGGGTTTAATTTTTTTTATTCCTGACCCGTCACGCATTACAGATTAGTCCCATAACTAGTTCAAAAAGTGGAAATTTGTGAGAATACTTGGAGAGCCAACTAGCCTCAAAAAAAGTAATTAGAGTTGGATTAACTTCAAAAATAAATAAAAAATAGAGAAGGACTTGTCAAGAGTTGCTTCCCCAGAGTGAGCACATGGATCTCATTGTAGAGTATCCCTCACTCCGTTGCAGCTCATTACACACATGTATTGATGCACGTCCTCACTCAAGCATTGAGACATAAGGCAAAAACGATTAGGCTCTTCTTTCTTCCTTATCATTAGAGAATATTTCTCACCTATTTATATCTCTTTTTTCCCTGAGGATGTATCTTGTATCCATTACTTTTATGAGTTGTTACTTTGTCAAATTATAGAGCCACCGAGCCCTTGCACACTCCCCCTCTCTTAGCCATACCTGAGATAACATTTACAATGTCTTTCATTGAGCTTTGATCTATACTACTACACCCATATTGTGATACACTTCACCACTTGAGGGATACAAACCTAGCTTTGACTCTACAACAACTCATATATGTTTTATGCTTTCTTTACTTTCTAATCATTATTATATGATGAGTTTATGCCATAATTTTCAAATTTTAGTAATTACCTAGTTGGGTTTAATTATGCCACAATACTAGGGTCGATTTTGTTGGAGGGAAATCATATTTTCATGTTAAATGAGATTGTTCTCTCATGTCACATTCATATCAAAAAATGTGCATTTATTTTAAAAAAAAATTGGTGAACCCCATTTTATTTGTCTTTAAACATGAGATAACTTGTCTCCTATCCCTTTTGTTAAATTACCGATTGGGATGCGCTATATTTTTTAGTTTTATTATAGGTAAAGAAAATATATTTGCATTTATATGTCAAATAAGAGATTTGAAGATGTAAACTTAATCTGTTTGATTTTAATCGAACTTGAATGCAGGACAGACCAAGTTGGTTGAATATAAAGGTCCTCCTACTTCAATCAACAATGTCACGTTGTTGGATTTGGGTCATACGTACTCAACTCAGAAAGATGTAATCCTATACGTGAACTCGGGTGGTGTAAGATCCTACTTCTTTGGCTTGGGCACTAGACCCGATCGAATTGATTGTTATTCGAGGTCATACCCTTTGTTTTAATTTCTTACTTATTTTCTTCTTCCTACTAATCTCATCTCTTTGTGCCTTGCCCATCCCTCTGTTTCTGTGTGATACTTTGCCACGTTCCATTTTCCATTTTCAACCAGCACATTCACAGCGCTGGTCCACTTATGCACATTCAGTTTGCAAAAGAGAACCAATAGATGAAGTCTTAACCAAAGTCAGAATCAAAGATACTGAGGATGCAACTGAAGAGACTGTGACATGAACATGTGTAATGGAAAGTTGGGGTTAGACAAACATATGTAATGGAGACATGTGTCTGAAACTTATGCCCATTCAACTATTGAGTTTGCACTCCACGGGATTTTCTACCAGATTCTTAATTCCTGACATGGACACTGAAGTAACCATCACAACTTATCATTTTATATATGTTGTTTCGCTATTAATTAAGGAGGAGATGGAGAGAACTTATGCTCAAGCGTATGTATTTATAGGTTGGGAAACTTATCATTTTGAAAGAGGTGAGATGAAGGTTCACTTTCGCAAACAAAATGCGTGTAGTTGTACGTATCCTACAAAAAATAGGTAGTATACTACGTAGTTGAAGTTCTGTGTCGTTGACATTTATCTACCGACTGGACTTTCTTATTTTAGGTAAATATATCATATTGACTTCATGGAAAATAGTAATAGATTACATCAGATTGAGTCCAGTGGGAATTTTCCTACTCTTTTAGTTTTAGTGGCTGCATATTGCATTTTACTATTACACATTTTTTCTTTTTTGAAAACACATAACTTTTACAGTTTGATGAAGTGTTGAGCAGGCAGAGTATTTAGAGTAGTCCTGGCTCACCTACTTCTTTTATTCAGGAGCCGTCACTTAGAGAAAAAAAAAAAAAATTTCTCTCCTTCTTATAAGCAAGTCAGAAAATATCTATTTTTTATTAGCTTGGACCACTGAATCATATATGGGCCTGTACCATATTAAATATTTCCTTGAGCAGGATTTGGTAAGTGGTAACTCATTACAAAAATTCAGACATTTAGTGGAGGTCATATTTTCATATTGTGGAGGTCTTTAACCCCCACAAAAGACATTTGTGGCATTCACCCAGCCCCCCAGTTCTACCTTCGCCACAACATAGTTTGTGGAGTTTCTTTGTGCAGTGCCACAATTTGTTGAAGTATTTTCTGGAGGTTCGAGACCCCCACAAATATTGCACTTTTTGGAGGTTTAAGACCTCCACAAATGTTGTATTATTTATTGGGATTTAGTAACCTCCACAATATCCCCACAAAATTTATCTTTTTCTAGAGGGCATAGACTGCTACAATTTATTTATTATTTTGGCATATTTAAACCTCCGCTAAATACTAGCTATCCAAATTTGAAAAGTGTGTATATCATAATTTTGGAATTGGGCTCCATCACTTGATTTGTTAGCCAATTCATTATTTATGCTTGCACTTGGTTAATACTTTTTTAAATAAATAAAAGTATAAATATACTCTAACACCCATATACTATAATATGAAGTTGAATTAATGTCTAGCAAAACAAAAACTTACATAATGTTCTCTTATCTAATGAAGGGCATAACAACATTCATAGCAGAATATGCCTCACTATAATTGTACACATTCATAAAAGATATAAAGTTGATTCAATGTTGTGTAAATGAGAAAGAGTATAAAATTTACAATTATCCACAACAAAAAACACATAAAATAAATCCATTTGAAAACTCTAAAATCCATTTGAATCTCTAATGATGCACTTATCACTTTACAGAACCCAAAATCATAGCAAAAATATTGAATTCATATAACCCAATTTAAGGGCGATTACTATCTAATGAAGACCTTCCTCGTGTTGGAATAGCTTCTTCACTCCCTTCATCCTATGAAAAACCAATTTATTGTACCCTTTTAGCATGCTTAAAAGAATGAGGCACTTAAACTAATAATATAAAGTTCAACATTAATAATAAAAATTATGAAATCATTACCACTGGAGCAGAAGTGGTACCAAACAAAGCATCCAACTCTGGAGGAATCTGTCCTTCCTTCATTTGTATATATGCAAGCATTACAGTCTGTAATGTCTTAAGGCTCTCCTCAGATGCTGCTAACTTAGTCTTCAATGAAGTAACATCATCTTTTAATTGAGAACTTTTAGCTGAATTCGCACCGGAGAAAGTAGAGCCTATAGGATTGAATCGTCCACTTGTGGGTCCAAATGCAATGCTAGGAAGACCACCTAGGCCTAAACCACGTACACGACCAGAGTTCTTTGGCCCAAAAACTTTTGCAACAACATCATTTGTTGAAATTTCAGTAGGATTAGTGCTTTGGTTTAATTCTTCATATATCTGATCCTGTACATAAACAGTATTATCATTTTCCGTAAGTTCATGCATGTGTCAGTCTTTATTCTAATTTCTAAAGAGATATACTACAATAAAAGCTTAGTCTGTAGGAAAAAATAGTCTCTGAAACAATAAAAAACACTTCAACAAAGTCAACATCAACATCAACAACACCTTTATCCCAAATTAGTTGGGGTCGGTGGTAGATGAACCCAAATGAAAGATACAAAAAGGTTGAAAAAAGAAACATAAAAGTAAAAGTAAAAATAAATAAATAGAATAGTAATAATATATATATATATATATATATATATATATATAAATATAAATAAATATAAAAGTAAAAGTAAAAAAGAAAAGGAAAAGAAGAAGAGGGGAAGCGAAGGGGAAAAAGACTAAAAAGGGACCATATGGAACATAGGAATAACAACGGGTCTAACCCTCCATCATGCTTATAGCTTTTCTCCATTCCGTTCTAAGGCATACCGTCCGCCAATCTATATCCCACTCCATTAAATCTTGTTTTACTACCTTCCCCCAAGTAAGTTTCGGTCTACCTTTACCTCTTTTTGTGTTGAGCTCTTGGTAACAAACTTTTGTTCTTATGGGAGCATCCAGGGGCCTTCTCATTACGTGCCCAAACCACCTCAATCTATGTTCTCTAATCTTCTCAGCCACCGGTAGTACTCTTATCTTTCGTCGAATATCTTCATTTCTTATCTTATCCATCCTCGTATAACCACATCCACTTTAATATCATCATCTCTGCTACTCCCATTTTATGCTCATGTTGCTTATGTGCTGGCCAGCATTCAGCTCCATATAGCATTGCAGGTCTTAATGCTGTTTTATAGAATTTTACTTTTAACTTAAGGGGTATTTTGCGGTCACACAAAAACCCAGATGCACTGCGCCATTTCATCCACCCTGCTCTGATTCTATGATTTACATCCTCATCAATCTCTCCATCTTTTTGCAAAATGGAGCCCAGGTATTTAAAAGCGTCTTTCTTGGATACCTCTTGATCACTTAGATACACAGGATCTTGGTCTACATCTCTTACTAGAGAAAACTCACACTTCAGATACTCCGTCTTGCTTCGACTTAATGTGAATCCTTTAGATTCCAATGTGCTTCTCCACAATTCAAGTTTTCTATTAACACCATCCTTGCTCTCATTAATAAGCACAATATCGTCTGCAAAAAGCATACACCATGGCACTTCCTTTTGAATATCTTTTGTTAGTTCATCCATAACTAAGGCAAAGAGATAAGGACTTAGAGCTGACCCTTGGCGTACACCTACCGTGATAGGGAAATAACTTGATGTTTCGTTACAAGCTTTCACACATGTAGTAGCCCCATCATACATATCCTTGATTGCCTTTACATACTTTTATGGTACCTTTTTCTTCTCCAGAACCCACCATAAAACTTTCCTTGGAACCCTATCGTATGCTTTCTCAAGGTCTATGAACACCATATGTAAGTCCTTCTTCTTTTCTCGATATCTTTCCATTAGTTGTCGCATCGAGAAAATGGCTTCCATGGTACATCTTCCTGGCATAAATCCAAATTGCATTACAGAAACCTTGGTATCTCTCCTCAATCGATGCTTAATAAACCTCTCCCGCAACTTCATAGTATGGCTCATTAGCTTAATGCCTCTATAGTTTGAACAATTCTGTATATCTCCCTTGTTTTTGTAGATAGGCACAATCATACTTTTCCTCTATGCATCAGACATCTTATTTGTCTGGAGAATCTTATTGAAAAGATTGGTCAACCATTTTATTGCCACATCCCCCAGGCCTCTCTACACTTCAATAGGGACCCCATCAGGTCCCAAGGCTTTATTAGTTTTCATCCTCTTTAAAGCCTCCTTAACTTCATGTGTATTAATTATGTGCACAAATCTTCTATTCAAATCATCATAAGCGTCCTCTAAGTCCACCTCGGTTATATCTCCATCCCCATTAAACAGCTTGTTGAAGTAGTTCATCCATCTTGCATTTACATCTTCATCTCTCACCAAAAGTTTTTGATTTTCATCCTTGATGCATCTAACTTGGGTGAGGTCTTTACTTTTCTTATCCCTTATTTTTGCAAGTTTATATATACCTTTTTCACCATCCTTTCTCCCAACATTTTTATACAAATCAGCAAAAACCTTGCCTCTAGCTTCTCGCACTGCTTTCTTTGTATTTTTTCTTGCCAATCTAAACTTTTTCAAGTTCTCTTCACTGAGACTTTTATGCAAAGATCTAAAGCACTCCTTCTTATGTTTAATTTCCTCTTGCACCTCTTCATTCCACCACCATGTTTCCTTTGTATGAAATCCATTTCCTTTGCTTTCTCCCAACACCCTCCTTCCCATATTTTGAATACACTTAGCCATCTCATTCCATATTGCATTTTCTCCTCCATCAAACTCCCAAGGTCCTTCGTGCAACATTCTTTCATTGAACTCTCTCTCTCTCTTCCCTCCTTAAGCTTCCACCACCTTATCCTCGGGTTCTGAGCCCTCTTCCTCATTGTAAGTACTTTGTTGAATCGAACCTCCAGGACTACCAGCTTATGTTGCGTAGCGACACACTCTCAGGGTAGACCTTACAGTCGACACAAGAAGTTCTATCTTCTCTTCTAGCCAGAAAGAAATGAATCTGACTACGATTTTGGCTACTATGAAAAGTGATTAGATGTGACTCCCTTTTTCGAAAAAAGGTGTTCGCTAGCATCAAATCATAGGCTAGTGCAACATTCAAGATATCTTCTCCAGTCTCGTTTCTCGTCCAATAGCCAAAACTTCCATGAATTCTATCAAAACCTCCATTGCTTTTACCAACATGACCATTTAGATCTCCTCCTAAGAAAATAAAACACTTCAACCAAGTACTTGGAAAAAAATTCTAAAGAACAAAAAAAAAACTAACTTTTGAGCAATTATCAGATACAATATAATACTGAGAAATATAATATGCATTGAAGGCCAATATAGTTAAACCAACATTATAGTACAATAACAAGGAAACTGCTTTACTATAAAGCAAGTGTTGTAATAGACTAATAGTCCCACGACAGTCTTGCATTCTCTACCCTATAATATTCTCTGTAATTTATTGTAATTATTGTAAAATATTTTATTATCATAGATTAGTTATTATTTTAGGAAATTAGTTATTTTAGATAGGTCTATATATTAGAATGAACCCATATATAATAAAATTAATTCAGAAATACTATTCGAATGTTCTCTCTCTAAATGTCTTGTTTTTTTCCCCTTCAGTCACTCCCTAAAATGCTTACTTTTCAACAAGCATAATGCTTTGTACTTCTCTCACATTTGATTAACGGAGTACAATTACTTTAGCATCCGTAAATAAAAGCATAATAGACACACAAAAGAAAAAATACAACTTTAAAAAATAATAACAAGCAACCACTATTTAATAGAATTACCTTATAACTTGGTTTCAAATGATAGTCTACAAATGATGACCATTGATCTTTAGGAACACCAGCAGGGACTTTTGCAATTAGTTGATCTCTAAGAAGCTTTAATTTCTCAACTGATTGACATAATTTTGCCTTGCCGTTTCTAAACCTTCTTCCCAAGGTAAGTAGACAATAACACTTAGCAATTGTTTCTGGAGCCTGAAAATGAAATAAATTCTTTACAAAAAGTATTAATGTTAGTACAATAATGATGGAAGTGAATAACTAAAAATAAGAGTGAGTGAGAGGCTCTATTTATATGTGTAGGGGAAAATGAAAAAGAAAAGAAAAGAAATGGTTATCTCATCTTAAAGGTTTCCAACAAGTTGCTATAATCAAACTGCACTTTTTTTTCATCATAAATACTAAAATAAAATAAAATAAAAACAAGGTAGGCTACATGGTTTTCTTTTCGGATTTAGAAAGGAAAGAAAACAACATATACTTTATTCAGTTTTTTAATAGCTATTATTTATATTTCCTACATTAAAAAAAATTGGATTTTATTTACAAAAAAAATAAAATAATTTTTTTTTTGGATTTTTACGTAAAGGATGATGAATATATATCCAAGTAATGATTATCATCTCATTATAGGAACTTGTTAACTATATCCAACTATTTCTTATTATGCTAGCATTATTATATCATTATATATCCAAAATTATAGGAACCTTTATGCTGTTTATAAAGATTATATATCTATAATGATTATCATATCATTATAAATTTTATAAACAACATAAATATATTAAGTGATAAAAGAGTAAACAAAAAAAAGGTGTCGTAAACTTTTCCCTATTTTAAAATGGATCTTTATTGTCACTTATTTTTCTAACACAATTAGACCGAACACAGAAAGCAACAAAGCACGCTGCAGGGGAAGGCTCACATAAAGCAACATGAGAACAAGAGATAAATCCATGCATTGCTACATGATCACATAATCTACAGAAGTTGGAAACTTACAATAATTAAACATGTTCGCCATTTGGAATATGAATAAAAATACAGAACATAAATATAGCGCTATTTACAGAGTTTCTTACAAAGTCCATATATGGTTTGACAAAACAGAACCTTGAAAAAAAATGTCATTGTACATTTTTTTTACTTAATGCCAATCTTGCTTGAAAAAAAGTTAAGATGGATTTTCTAATGCTTAATTATATGCTTTATCTTGAGTTTCATCTATAAAAGAAGCTAGATGCATAATACTTGAAATTTTCTAGAATTCTGTTAGTGAGTTAGCAATCTATATCGCAAAAAAATAAAATAAAATCCTGAGTTCTAATTGAGTTTCTTATGTCTTGAGCTGCTGAATCTTTTGTTACTGTGCAGTACATAGGAGACACATAGAAGGAGAACAATAATGGCTGGCATTGGGTGTGGGAATGGATATATAAATGGTGTACAAGCTAATTCATAGCATATTAATTGCAAACAATGGAATGGCAGCAATCAAGTTTATATGTAGTGTTAGGGGCTGGGCCTACGATACATTTGGCACAGAGAAACTATCTCATTAGTTGCCATGGCTACTCCAGAGGACATGAGAATCAATGCAGAATATATCACTATTCCGTTTTAATTATTACAAGGGAAATACTGTTTTCTAAATCCTAGACTCTTAATTTTTTATTTTTTAAATTTTATCAGCAATAACATTATAACTAATATAATTCATAATATTCCACACATTAAAAAATTAATATAAAATATGTTTGGCAGGGGAAAGAAAAGCCACTACTATAGAATTTGGTGTATGCATATACCTTCAAACTTTTATAGCATTCTGTCTTGTATGAATCAAGTACTTTATCCCATCCTTCATAATTAACGAGAACATTGTTGCAATCAGTGGCAATACGTCCACATACTTTTGACAAGAGTGTTGCAGCTTCCCCATAGGGTTGCATTTGCGTATCAAATGGCACTATTATGCGTTGACCATCATTCATCTCAAACACACCAGATGTGGTCAATTGAATTTTCTTTTCATTTCATTCTTTGTCTATTAAAACAGATCCAAGTTAGTTTAAATGATAATATAATAACCAAAACTAACCAAAAAAATATTACCTATAGCTTGTACGGTCCATTTCTTCTTAGACTCACGTCTTACATGAGATGGACGAACCGGAAGATGTGGTAGTTCGGTAGGAATTGATGAAGAAACAAAGGTTTGTGGTGGCTCTATAGGCATGCTGGAACTTGATGATGAAACATCATTCCTTGAACGTTTTCCTTTAGGAGGCATGTCTAAATTGTTTTAGGTATATAAGACAACCAATACACAAGAAAAGTATTATCAATCCAATATTGTTCAAAAATAACATAGTGAAATAAATAAGGTTACAACTATCAAATACCACAAAGGAAAAAGAGAGGAAGCAAATCATAAGTTTGTTGAGTGGTTATTCACTCCAATTACTATCTTAGTTGCACAAACATTTCTCTAAGTGTATTGAATCCCAATTATGTAATTTCTCATTTTGCACATACAAATTCTTGCTTCAGATAATCCTTCTTCAACCACAAAAAAAGAACTAAGTTGCCAAATTGTAAATACAACAAAATGTTGCCAAACTATAAACTAAATCTCTTGTAATTGATACCCTCCTTAACCATTTCTTGATCTCACTCAGACATATTTTCATCTCTAGGAAGTTGATTTTCAACATGGCTTATATTTATGAATTCATTATCTACGTCCTCCCTAGCCAATGTTATTGTGTCCGCTTCATTTGAGAATAAATCTTTTAGGTCTTGCTCTTGGTATGGCTCAGTTTCACAAATAACATCTTCTCCCATATCATACAAATCCCTTGGCATCATGTGAACAACAACACTCCAACCTTTATTTATCTCATCATCCACATAATACACCAATTGTGCTTGTGAAGCTTCAATATATGGGTCATGCTCTTCACGTTCACCAGTGTGAATACATTTAGAGAAGTTCACTGAAGTAAATTGCCATGCATCTTTTCTGATTCCTCTATCACGTGTGGTATCTGCCCATTTACACTTGAATAAGATTACTTTGAAAAAACCATAATAGTTGAGTTCAATTATATCTTCTAACTTTCCATAGTATGGCAAATCTGCTCTCCTCATATTTGCATCAGCATTACTTGCAACACAAGATGTGTTTGAAGTTAGAAAGACTCCACTATTTTGAGTTTTTAAACCCTTATCTCGATTTATAGTTCTAAACTTGAACCCATTTATGTTATATGCAGTATATCTTCGTGCCTGTAGCATTGGGTCCCTTGCCAAAAACTTTATTTCATCTGTAACTGAATCTAAAATGTCGGGATTCATAATCTACATTAAAAATCAATTATTTTAGTTATAAAAGTAGGTTGAATTTTTTAAGAAAAATTAAAATTTAATTTACCCAATGAGGAAACCAATTTGCAAATTCCTTAGAAACTATATTTTCTATCTCTGTGGCTGAAGGTCTTCGACCCCTTGTCCTTCTCTTAATGTTTGCTCTAAATTCACTTAAAAAAAACAACTATGTTAATATCACATGGAAATATTCTTACTCTTACCCCATGAAATATACAAAAACACTTACTCAATATATGGAATGACTTTTGGACAATTCAGTAGAAAATATCGATGTGCTTGCATTTTCTCTAATGGAGTAAGAGTGAAAGTTGATGAACTTCCTCCTAGTCTACCTAATTGAGGATAGATAGAAGACTTTTGAGATGTTCTTTCATTATTCGGACGATCATCAACACGTCGACCTCTATTCATCCTTGACTCAACTTCTTCCTATTGTGAATACAAATTTAGGGTCTCTTCGGCTAAATAAGCTTCACAAATAGAACCTTCTGGTTGTGCCCTATTTCGTACAAAAGACTTAAAATGCCCTAAAGCCCTATTATCACAAAAATAATAATGTTATTTTTGATAAAGTGCGATAAGTTCCTAATTCCCAGAAACATAAGTTGTTGTGGCCCAATTTGCGATAAAGTGCTCCTGAATGCAAACTTGATGCTAAACAACAAAAATTAGTAGCGAGAATGGGAAATTCAACAATAAGATAAAAATATAGCTCTCCACTTTTGGGAGCCATCAGACCACAAGAGGAACACGTGAGTAAGAATTGAAAGGGATATAAAAAAAGATCATAACAACTAAAAAAAGAGCTTTTGGACGAGACCTTTCTCCTTCCCTTTCATCTTTATCTTCTTCTCTCAACCTTCCTTCATAGCTACAAACTTGAGTTCTGCATTTCTCTAGAACAATTTTATGTAATCTTGTTATTTTCTTTTTAGTAGTACAAGTTTGTAATAGGATGAGTAATTTAGTGTCTCCATGTTATTTTTTTGTTTTTGTTTCAAGCTTTGACATGCTCAATAGCATGGGCTAAGTTTTTTTTTCCAGTTAAAATATAGAAGTACCAAATCTAAATTTCAATGTCTGAATTCAAATATTTTGTAGTAACAGTTTGTAGATCTAATTCTGAATTTACTGTTGTTAATTGATTGACCTCATTTTATTGTCTAAAGAGTTGGCTCTTTGTTGCGTAAAATCGGCAAGTGTACCGATCGTACCAAGTAATAAGATGATGAGTAGAGTATCGTCTCCACGAGGATTGAGGCACCAAAGTTATTATAACTATTCCTCTCTTGTTGGATTAATCAAAATAGTTTTAGAACAATTGTGGTTTGTAAAATAAATGAAAACAATTCAAAATAAATGTAAATGGTTCACAGTTCTTCTATAACTAAAGAACAAAAGATTAAAGGTTGAGAAAATATTTGAGAAAATATTGCGGTAAAGAGAAACAAACATATTTACGATCCCCACCTTGCAACTTGGATCACATTTACGTTTATTTATTCAATTGATCAAACGATTCATCATCTTTTATATGATTAGTTAAACCCTAATTCCTTAGTGATTTTAACCTTATTAACTCTATTAGAATCCTAATCCCTTAGAAATCCCTTTTCAAGTTAAACCTTAGAATCAATGAATCTTTAACGTTTGCGGTTCATGTAGCCTATCCCTAGTGCATACATGAACAGTTATCTTACCCTTTGTCAGGAATTAGAATTCTAATATCCCTATTGAAAACCCTAACCCTTGCAATCCTAATAGATTGATCAGTTCTAGAAGAATTATAAGATGAAGAACAAGGTAAAATAAACTCAATTTAAATAGATAAACGTAAACTTCAACCAAACTACAAGGGGTTCACATCAAGGGTTGTGACCCTTACCACAATAATAGAACTAGCCAGACATAATATCAAGAATGAAAGACAATATAAAAACTCCCCCAAACTCCATAGATGATTGGTGAATCTTCAATATCCCCAGTGCAGACTTGATGTTGATCCGTCTCCGCCGCTCAAGAACATAAACCAAGTTTTTCTCCGCGTTCCCTCTGCCTCCAAGTATCAAAGACTCTCTTCGAAAGTCAAAAGTTATTAATTCTTACCCCAAGATGTCTTTTTAATGGCCAAGAATCGTGCCCTAAGTGAATAACTTGAATTGGGCCTAAGTTGGGTTTCTGGGGCGCTTAAGCTTGCTCATTCGCGCTTAAGCTTGCTGGAGCAGGCTTAAGCCTGCTGAAGATTGCATGAAAATTTCACGTAGCGAGCTTAAGCCTGCTGGAGCGCGCTGAAGCATGCTCTTCGCGTCTGAAATTCCTCCTTGGCTCGCGCTTAAGCCTACTAGAGCGAGCTTAAGCTTGCTAAGGCCGAACATATTTGCTTACATATGAGGCTGTAGCTTGCTAATTGGGGCTTAAGCTTGCTTAGGCAAAGGCCATTTGTTGATTTTTGAAGGCTTTAGCTTCGAATTGGGGGCTTAAGCCCCCCTCTCTAACAACTTGAGAATCTTGATAAGATCTTTAAATCTTTTTGTTTTGCTCTCCATCTATCCATATCTTCATCTTTGACTCCATTTGTCATCTAATCCCTTAAAAATAGCAAATGTAGTTTAATTAACTCATAATCAGATAATGTTCATGATTTTATTTTAAAACCCTAGTTTTGACTTGTTCAACTTGATAATTTATATTAAATTAACCTATAAAAACAAGATAAAGTAGAGGTTTATCAAACAATTCCCAGATTTATACATTGTTGTCCTCAACAATTAACTAGAATAAAACTATGGGAAAGTTTGGAGACGGCTAATCATGCTTAATAAATAATAGACAGAAAACTGAGTAATCATGATATATCAGAGTATTTGAGTTGAAAAACAATGACACATCAATTTCAAGCATAGATTCACATTCACCAGTCATAGAATCATAACTTGAGTTCTCAAAATAAAGAGTAGTATCATTCAGATCCACAACACCCTCTCACTGGGATTTTTTTATTTATTCACTCACACTCAAATGTTTGAGGGTTTGTGTTTCACTTTTACCTCACTGAATTAACACTACTATAAGCTTGTTTATATTCTCACTCTCCACAGTCTAATAAGTATACTAAATCAATCAAGAGGTCTTTGTTAAGGTTGTAACGTGGCTTAGGTAAAAGGGAAGGAATCATCTGGGTAAGTGGCTTAAACTTACTGATCAAAATTCAATTTCAAAGAGGAATATATATATATATATATATATATATATATATATGACTGTTCATCATATAGATTTTTCTTATTTGCTTACTCCTCCTTTCTTCTTCCACTTATTCATGAATCTTTTCTTTCTTTCCCCTTTCCTTTTGTTTTTCTTTTCATTTTTTTTCCAACACTTTTTGGCTTTTTCCTCTTTTCACCTTTTCTTCCATATACTAGAGTTTGATTTTCTTTTCTTTTTGTTCCAATCATACCTAATTCCTCATTTAATTTTGAAAATTAACCAATTCAGGTGAGGATGTAATAGATTGGCTATTCATAATATACTGTCAATGAACAAACGGCCTAGGCTCAAAGGGGCTTAATCTAAGAAGAAACATCAGGGTGGCTATTTGGCTATCTAGCTTTTAGAAAGAACTGCCTCTATCATTTCAATAATTATATACCATAGACCATCTCAAAGAGAAACAAAACAAGTTCTAAAGTGATTCAAACAGTAAAGTTCACACAAAAAATAATAATTTCTGTTTATGCTCAAAAGCTTACGGCTAATGGTGTGAGACTTATTTTCCACTCTCTATTTGATTACTTTAGTTATTTTTCTCTTATTCTAGTGAATTATTAAGCATGCTTGACTGACGCTCATTTATGTATGAAAATAATTTTTATATTATTATACTCATAATCTCAACTATCA